ACTTGTACTACAGAAGTGTACCCTAACCCTCACCCTAACTCTAACCTTAACCCTAACCCTAACCCTAAACATACCTCATATAAAAATATAAACATAATACTAAACAACCTAAAACTACCTCGGGTACATATCTGTAATACTTGATACGACAACGACCCCATCTGCGTCACTACGTGGGATGAGCTTTGCTACGAAGAGGACCTACATTCCGCAGATGTATTTTCCCACAAATGATCGAAACCGCGAAAGTCAAACGCAGCTTTCACGAGGGTTTACCGTGCGACGCTTACTTACGTATTCGCTCTCCGGCGTTGTTACAGTTGCGTTCGACCGGGAGTATCGGCTAGCGTTCCGCTCGCTCGGCTCCAAACACCTCGCCAAGCTGCAGAACGATGATCTGCCGCCTAGCAATGCCATCATCTGGTGTCGCCGCATGCTGACGGAGCTAGAGCTCGCCCCGCCCACCACGTAGAGCGTCCCCCGGAGGAGGAGGAGAAGACGGAGGGAGAGGGAGAGGGGGTGACGACGAGGGAAGACCGCGCGCGATCCGAGAAGTGTCCGACCGGCCAGGGCGGCGTCGCAGACTCTAGGGCTCCGAGGTGGAGTCGGCTGGTTTTTCTTCGTGTTTAGTTAAGCACAGTGAGGACTGAAACGAGTGTGAGAGCGAGGGAGAGAGAACTAGAGAGAGAGAGAGAGAGAGCGAGGAGGGAGGGAGAGAGAGGAGAGGGAGCGAGAATGAAAGTGGAGAGAATTACCAGGCCGCTGTTATGATTTTTGATGATTTTTTGACATTACTGGCAGTCTTTGGAGGAGGAGAAATGGATTGTTTCTCGTTGTTATTAATTAACGGACAGACAGGTGGACTTGTGCGTGCATATGTACGTGAAAATCAGTCGCCGTTAACTGTTAAGTATTAAAACGTTGGCGAGTAATTAATAGGGCATATGGGAAGTCTGTGATACGTGTGTGGTCATAAGATGTGTATCCAGGACCTGCCATAGAATGCTGTATGACCACCAGATCAATCCAGCGTTTATTAACGCAAAGCGAAAATAACGGTTTGTAGATAGAAATCTCAGAGTAATTCTCTGAATCCTCGGATGAAATGGCACGAAAGATGAAATTTGCTGGCTAATATATAAATATATATATTTTTGAGGTTGTGTTGTTTCGTGGCTATAGTTGATATAACTCGTGTGAGGCGAATCATGTTTAGGGCAGTAAATTTTACTCGCATTACGATATCGATGTGTGTTTACACGGGGTGTTGTGGCTTGAGATGCTTCGGTTTCTTCCCGAAAGATATTTATCTGGAGGCGAGATATTGGTGGATGGATTTTATTCACACATGCACACGTCCGTTTTAAGTTGGTGAGTTCTTTATCGGACAGTGTGCAGTGTACACCAGTCAGTGTTGGCTGGTACACCAGTCAGTATTGGCTGGCATACCACCAGTCAGTGTTAGCTGGTACACCAGTCAGTGTTGGCTGGTACACCAGTCAGTGTTGGCTGGTACACCAGTCAGTGTTGGCTGGTACACCAGTCAGTATTGGCTGGCATACCACCAGTCAGTGTTAGCTGGTACACCAGTCAGTGTTGGGTGGCACACCAGTCAGTGTTGGCTGGTACACCAGTCAGTGTTGGCTGGTACACCAGTCAGTGTTGGGTGTGTGACCAGTCAGTGTTGGCTGGTACACCAGTCAGTGTTGGCTGGCACACCAGTCAGTATTGGCTGGCATACCACCAGTCAGTGTTGGCTGGTACACCAGTCAGTGTTGGGTGGGACACCAGTCAGTGTTGGCTGGTAGACCAGTCAGTGTTGGCTGGTAGACCAGTCAGTGTTGGCTGGTACACCAGTCAGTGTTGGCTGGTAGACCAGTCAGTGTTGGCTGGTAGACCAGTCAGTGTTGGCTGGTACACCAGTCAGTGTTGGCTGGTACACGAGTCAGTGTTGGCTGGTAGACTAGTCAGTGTTGGCTGGTATACCAGTCAGTGCTGGCTGGTACACCAGTCAGTGTTGGGTGGCACACCAGTCTGTGTTGGCTGGTAGACCAGTCAGTGTTGGCTGGTAGACCAGTCAGTGTTGGCTGGCATCCC